AAAGGGGATTTGGGGGGGGGGGGGGCAGGCTGGCCCCCCCCCCTTTGGAAAGTGAAAAAAAAAAAGAAAATGCAAAAAAAAAACAAAGAAATGCAGTACTGTTCACAGCTCAGTGTTGTTTTGATCGGCCCAACTTTCGGCTCCCTGATTTATTATTCATTATTTGATTTGATTGTTATTGCCTATTAGTACTGATGATTGTTAGTTGCCCGGATTTCCTTGCTTACATTTCTACGTTTTCTGGCGCATTGAAATGATGAATGTATTCTGTACCTTTACATTGATCAATATAATTACTCTATTTTAATTCTGGATTGTAATATTCAATACTTTTTTACATGAATATTTACAAGGATATCTAACATTAACAATTTTAAAAGCTGAGAAAGTTAATGATTTTTAGAAATTTTTTAGTATGAAATTTAAATTTTTATCATTAAAAATTGTTTATTGTAGGTTATTATTGTGAGGTTGGAGGTAGGACTAATGTTACAGGAGAGTGTGACCAGGGCTTCTACTGTGTCAAAGGATCTAACAGCAGTGCACCAACAGATGGGGTCACAGGTCAGTGGAAATTTCCAACATAAACAGTCATAAAAGCTCTGCTGCATTATTCATCTCTTTCTTCATTTTCTCTACCTATTCCTGTGTGTTTTAAAGTTGGTTTCTTTAGCCTTTTTATCTTACAATAGTTTCAAGATACAAGAAATCTTTACTGCCTGTATTGTAGAGTTGTGTTTTAAAGTTGCTCCATTTAGTCTTTTTATTCTACAATTGTATCAAGATACAATAAATCTTTACTGCCTTTTCTGTAGATGTAGCCATATTAAATTTGCATGTTGACCAAATGAGTGTTTACATCTCTCATGACTACTGATGCTTAGTATTCTTTCTAATTTGTCTTAAATCATTTGCATCTTAAGCCGGGCACTCCATACACCCACTGGTCGTCAGCAGACACGCTTCTACACAGATCACAACTGCCACTTCCAACTGCTACTTGCCAATAATTCACTGGGTCGTTTTAATGACAGTCGATTCAGACTGCACAGACAATCAGCACACAGTGTTATATGGTTCAGCACATACACACAGCGAAGTCAAGGTTGTACGACCATTGTGAAATGCAGCAAGTGCCCAAATTTATTGTTCATAAAGAATGCTCAATACATATTTATTTTCATTCTGTTTAAATTTACTTATAAGGTGATATTTGTTGGGCCGGTCATTACTGTGTAGAAGGATCTAGCGTCCCAATTGCTTGTCCCAACGGTACATTTATGAATCATACCGGAGCCTCAGAGTGTGACATCTGTCCTGAAGGTAGATATTGTATCCATGGCGATAAAGCGTTGCCATGTCCACAGGGCTACTATTGTCCAGAAGGAACTGGTTATGACTATCAGATGTGTCCGTCTGGAATGTTTGGCTCTAGGACTGGTTTAGTTGCTGAAGGAGATTGCACTCAGTGTACAGGTGAGTCATTTATCCTTTTTGTTCCTTATTTATTTTTTTATTTTTTATCAGTTATTTGTGAAAATGTTAGGGATGACTTTAGGACCAAGAAATATCAATTAATTAACAAATATGAAGTCTATTTTGTGAATACATGACTGAATATAAACTAATAAATATTAGTTTTACTTGTGGTACTTGCACTTTGGACATAAAAATGGAGTTGACCATTTCTCTTGCTTGTAAACCAGGTGTTTTTAGTTTTTTTTCAGCTGATTGGGGAAGAACATTTCAATGACAGGAATAAAAACATTAAAAGCATTGAAAATACTGCAAATACACACTAGATCCTGAGTCATATAACCGAACTATTATAATATTGGTAATGTAGAATCATGAGGCATAGCTAATGTACGTTTTTCTCTTTGTGTATGCCTAATAAAAACACTAATTCCTTGCTATGTTACGACTGTATACTATGTAATTATGCTTGTAATCATATTTCTCTCTGCAGGTGGTCATTATTGTGAAACACCTGGTTCACCTGAGCCAGATGGAAACTGTACAGCTGGTCACTACTGCACATCTGGTGTAGACAGAGCAACGCCAACAGCTGGTGATGGTCATAAGGGTACTGGAGGTCTATGTCCAGTGGGCAGCTTTTGTCCAAAGGGAACTGCTGTTCCATTGGATTGTCCAGCAGGAACATACACAGGCAGTGAAGGTAACCTTGTCATTTGCTGGTAAATAAAGTTATAAGAATCTACTATGGAAACCCCTATTGGTGTAATGGAATATTCTGGTATAGTGCAAAAATGTTAAATATTTCACTTCTTATGAGAAATGAATTTGTCAACTTCAAAACAAATATTTTTGTACTTTCAGGTTTAAGCTCCTGTCCATCATGCGTAGCAGGATATTATTGTCCATCCAACACCAGTGATCCTCTGGTCTACCCATGTCCAGTTGGTCATTATTGTCCTACTGGTACAACATATCCATATGAACATGCATGTCCGGAGGGTTCCTATAATGGGCTAGAAGCTCAGCAGAATATTTCTTCATGTGATCTCTGTCCTCCTGGGATGTACTGCCAAGGTGAGGGGCTTGAGGAACCAACTGGTAACTGTAGTGCAGGCTGGTTTTGCACAGGAGGAGCTTGGGACTCTATGCCGTTGCCTCCTGGTAAGTTAAAATAACGTTTTGATTTCTTGTACATTAAGTGTTTGCGTGCATGTTTATTTCGGTTTTGAGTTTATTTTGCAATGAGGGGTAAATTCTTACTTTAAAATATTGAATGTTAAGCGCATGAAAGCTCCAGCATTTTGTGCTACATAAGATTGACATTGTTATTATTATTATTCAATTTGTGTTTATGTTTCAGTAGAATGTATACTTTAAAGGCTGATGGAGCATTTTAATTCAATTCATACCACTTTTACTCTGCACATGCTCAGTTTTACAATTAATTAATCTGTGTTGATAGTCTTAGGCAATTTTATCTGAAGAGTGTTGTGCCATATGTATGTGTAGCACAAAACTAAATAGTAATAAAAATTCTAATCAAACATACTGTTGAATCTCTTATCTTTATTTTAATTCGCTCTGGTTTGATTACCATTGAGCACTCTACTGATTATATTTGCAACTCGTTCAACCGTTTTACATCTGTATGAATGTATGTATGTTATTAATTGTGGAAGTTGTGTACTCATTGTGACCTCTATAATTTAGTTCATCATTATTTAATACAAAAAAAAGTGGTTTTTTTTCTTTTTTTTTTTATTTAGGAAATTCTACTGTTATTGCTGACTGTACTTGCCCTGCTGTTAACTACACTGGCAACAAATGTCCACCAGGAACATACTGTCCAGAAGGTTCTTCTGCTCCAGTTGACTGCGACTATGGCAAATATTGCGCTGATTACGAACTACCTGCCCCAACGGAGGACTGCACAGCTGGCTTCTACTGTCCCAGAGGACAAGAACGTCCAGATCCACCAGCTTTTACTTGCCCAGTGGGCTACTATTGTGTACAGGGTGCTGGATGGCCTACAGCATGTCCCAATGGAACCTTTAGTAACACAACTCAGAACACAGAGCTATTGAATTGTGAAACTTGCTTACCAGGTGAGCAAGTTTTGTTTTGGGTTTTGTTGGTGTAATTATAAAAATAATTATATATGCTTCAATTATAATACAATAATTAATAAATTTATTTCAACCACAATTTACTATTTTTAATAGGCAAATATTGTTCTGGTGAGCACCTTTACAAACCTTCAGGTGACTGTATGGAAGGCTATTATTGCCCTGGAGGTCAGAGTGAGAGGGCACCATCTAACTACATCTGTCCACAAGGTTTTGCTTGTCCTGAAGGAAGCTCGATTCCACAGATGTGTTCGAGAGGTAATATAAAATATTATATATTTTATAATGAAAGAGACAAATCTTGAAGAGAAAGAAAAATACAATAAGAGGTAGAAGCACTTATTAAATTCACATTGTAATTTACTTGTGTTATATTTTTAATTAAGGAACATATCAGCCAGAAGTAGAGCAGGCAGAGTGTGATGCTTGCCCAGCAGGAACTTACTGTGATCCTTATGAACTTGAGAATGTGACAGGAATCATTGTGCCAATGGACTGTATTCCTGGACATTTCTGTCCCAATGGAACTCAATATGCCCAACAGAACAAGTGTCCTGTTGGAACGTACTCAAATAAATCCAATCTAGCAAATGCTGGTAAGTAAACATTTGAATTTATTTTGTGGTAACAAGTTCTCATTAATGAATGATATTACAGTTATATCAAAATCAGATCTTCAATAAAGTAATTGCATAATTGTAATAGGTCGGTTTTTATCATGTAGTTGAAAAAACTAATGATAATTATTTTTCTATAAATTTTGATGCTTTTTTAAAAAATAAATTAGGTCATTACATTTGTTTTATAAGTTTATGAATCTTAAAAATATAATTCTAGTTCTTACTTGTTAATCAGTTATTTTAATCGTTTGATTTTTGTTCAAATTTTTGAATCAAATATGTATAATAAATCAACTCTTATATTTTCATAGGAGAGTGCACACCATGTGACGCAGGCTGGTATTGTGACGAGCAAGGTATGACTGCACCCAAGGCAAAGTGTCAGTCAGGCTACTACTGCACACTAAGAGCTGAAGAACCTGCACCAACCGATGGGCTTACAGGCGATATTTGCCTACAAGGAAAATACTGTGTAGAAGGATCAGTCACAGGTAAACACTAATTGGTTTTCATTTACTTGATCCAATCACATTATAAAGTGAACTCATTAAACAACAGTACTCAGAAATGTATTATGGTATTTTTTTACAATTGTGTAGGTGAAGATTGTCCAGTTGGTCGCTATGGTAATCAAACCGGTCTACGTGCATCCACTGATTGTCCATTGTGTGACCCTGGTTGGTACTGTAATTCACCTGGTCTGGTTGAACCATATGCCATGTGCTCAGCTGGACATTACTGTGAACTTGGTTCAACATCACCAAATCCAACTAATGAGACCTTTGGGTACTCATGTCCAGTTGGTCACTACTGTCCACAGGGTACTCCAGTGCCAGTAACTTGCAATGCAGGAACTTACAATCCATTCAAAGGTATGTTAAAATTTGATAGAGGAATCTATTTATTGAATGTAACCTAACCATACCATAATTAAAATGTTTTATTAATCATTAATATTACTTCTCTAGGTCTCTCTAAGGAGATTCTGAATAGGACTTCTCTTGAAGATGTACTTGCATATAAAAATTGCTTATATACTGACTTTTGTTTCCACAATGGCAGTAAGATCAAGGACATAATGATGTCACAATGTGACATTGTCATCTTTGTTGCCTTAATTCTAGGACACAGTTTGGCACAAATCTATGTTATGCACAGAATGCAGGACGATCACAGATGAGTAAATCTGAGGTCAAATGTCATGCAAATCCAATATGCCCTAATATTATTATTGGAATTGATAAACATGTTTATAATTAAGAACAATATACATTTGCAGGTCAAGATGAAGCTGATGATTGCACTGGTTGTGATGGTGGGTTCTACTGCATGTCTGAAGGTCAAGCCAATGTCACAGCTGAATGTTACAGTGGATACTACTGCAGTTCTGGAGCCTCTTCACCAAATCCAGAGGGTAAGACAATGTTGGATTGTTAATTTTTTTTTTAAAAAGCATTTTAGGGTTTATTTCATGAATACTTAAAAAGATGAACGATCAATAATTACCAGCTTTACATTTGTCTATGTAGAATCATTTGCATTAGTGCATTATCTAGAATATACAAAACCAAGTAATTCGTCTTCCTTTCTTCATCCATATGATATCATATATTTATTTAGATAGAGCTTGGTTGTAGTGAGCCAGGTTGAAACTTGTCCATATCATGTTTAAAACACTGCATATCCCAGCATAACTAGTCACTGTTGGGGAACTGAGGACTAATGCAAGTTCCCTAGGTAAAAGAATAATTTTATTTACACGTTAAAACCTCATTATTGATTCTGGACAACAAAGTTATAAACAGTTGAAATATGCTGCTGTATAAATCTTTTGTTGCAATGGAACTTTTTAGACCAATTTCAAGACAGGCTTTCATACACACAGTGTATTTAATAAATATATTAATCATTTCTGTTTACTGTGATGTAATTTCAGATGGTGTGACAGGAAATATTTGTCCTATTGGTCACTACTGTCCAACCGGAAGTGACAGGCCGTTACCATGTAATAATGCTACATACATGAATGAAACTGGTGCAGCAGAATGTCTGGTTTGTCCTGAAGGATACAAGTGTATCCATGGTGATGAACCTGACCCATGTCCAGCTGGCTTCTTCTGTCCAATGGGAACAGGATATGACATTCAGCTATGTCCTGAAGGTATGCTATAATCTTATCTGTATGTCTACCAACTGCTGATTTGGGTAATTTGATTTCTCCTGAAATATATGAAGGTGGAAAGGTTATATGTAATGATTAGAAAACTTGGCAATTTGAGTGTTAACTGAAGATATTATAGTAAAGGTTTAAATAATCTAAGCTATTCTATTACTTATTTTTACTGTGTTTTACTTTACTAGGCACATTTGGAGCATCAGAACTGTTGTCTGAATCTGGTGATTGTACTCGGTGTACAGGTGGAAAATATTGCCAATCGCCTGGAATGGATAGTGTTAGTGGTCCGTGTGATCCTGGACATTACTGCACAGAAGGCAAGCCATTGTTTTGATCTCTCTAAAATTCAGTCTACAACAAAATTGTGATCTTGTTCAGTTTGTAAATTGAAAAACAAGTATTTTTGAACATGAAGCAACCAAATCTTCATGGCTGCTTCAGTATTACTGCCTTTGTCTCTCACGTTTTCCCTCTGGTTTAATCCATTTTCATTGCATAATAATAATAATAATAATATTTTATTTGAAAAACTATGCCTTTCCATTGGCGGCACACATCACATGTAGCATAATGACAGTGCATTCATAAAAAGAAAATATTTCAAACAAGTAATATAGACATTAACAAGGCAATGTACAAGACAAGATATTGAAAGGATTCTTAAAACTAGATAAATCTTCATGAACATACCATGCCCATTTATAATTCAGCACAATGACATACAAGTTGTGGGTTACTTTCCTAACTTTGTACCTTTAACTTGTGTATTCTATGTATGTCAGTACATTTTTTTTAAAATTTGTAATAGGTGTGAACATCAAGGCACCAAATGGTGTAAACAACACAGGTACTGGTGGTATATGTGCACCTGGGCATGAATGTCCTGAGGGTACAGCTGTGCAAATCCCATGTACACCTGGTAGCTATGCACCTGTGGCACAGATGTCTGCTTGTCTACCATGCCCTGCAGGTGAGACTTGCATTATTATTGTTTGCATATGGATGACGCTATAACCTACCTTGAAGTGTATAATATATATTGTATATAGCAATTCTTTGTATATTGTATTTAATGTGTTGGAACTTGTTAAATAGGCAAAAAATGATGAAATTACAGGTGATTTTGTTGATTCCTTTGGAATTACTTGATTCCTTTGGAATGGCTGACAAATAAATTGGTCTTAAGGATTCACTGAAACATTTCTATTCTTTGTTATTTTACTGATAAATTTAATCAATAATTTTGAAGATTAGATTCAATAAGAAGCTATGTTGATTATTATAATGGTTAACATTAATAGTCATTAATGTAAGGTGTTTATTGTTTATTAATGATATATGTTTAGTATCTTTTACTTATTATTTTCATACATTTATAGGAAAATATTGTGAGAATGCAACAGTAACACCTCAAGATTGCTTAGTTGGTCATTACTGTCCAGAAAGCACAGAGTTTGCGGAGCAATACCCTTGCCAAGCAGGAACATATAACAATCTCACAGGTTTGTTGAACACTTTGCATATCTTTCTCTCAACTTTGTGAAGTTAATCAAGCTTCATTTAATTTCCTATTACTGTACATAGTATCATTTACATTTATTTTTTAATGTTATTCTTTTAAAACATATTAAAATACATCAAAAATAACAATACAAAATAAATATTAAATATATAGCGCATTTCATTTTAACTTATTATTTGTCGTTAATGGACATCTTGCTTAATTGACTCCTTTCTTTTAGTTGACAAAAAACACTGCTTGTTACTTTTTTTAGACAAGTTAAAATCTACTAAGGGTTTTACAGCTTGTGATTTGATGTACCATTGACTTAATTTAAAAAGGAGTAGCCAAACCCAGTCACTGTTAGTGTTCATTTACAACATTATCATACAGTATGTTTGTTCTTGTGGACATGTGCAAACCCATGAACATGTGGTGAACGTGTATACTGTGACAGGAACCCCCTTTCCACTATATGGACTTGATAACCGTGAGTTGGTGGTATACCTTACCAACTCACAAATTTAAAACGATAGGCCTATATTTAAACATACAAGGTGATAATAATTTATTATGTATTGGGTAATATAGTATGATGTATTATTATTGTTATTATTTATTTCTTAGGTCAACCAAACTCAACTAACTGTGTACACTGCCCTCCTGGTATGTACTGTGAAGGTTCCGGCTTGAGTTTGCCCTCTGGATGGTGTGATGAAGGATTCTATTGTAGTGGAGGTTCAAATGCCAAAAGACCATTTGACGTTGGAATGACAGTTGCGCTTCCAACTCCAGGGTAAGATGAAGGATTTTTATATCAACGCAAGTTATTTTTTCATGATAAAATATGAGTTTTCTCTTTATTTTATAGAACATTTATTTCTTTAATATACTGTACATGAATTGCTTACTCATTCCATTTCTGGTGTTCAGCACTTAGAAGCATCGTCTTGTATGACGCTCTCTATGAGATTAACATTATTATTTTTAGTATTTGTCTGTTTGCCATACATCTGACCGGTATTATATAAACCTGTAGTAGTGTAAGCAACAATGCCTGATGATGTGACACGTCATCTTTTATTGTCATTAAATATTTATTTCATTTTCATTTTGTTATAGGTATGCATATGATAATGATACCTGTCACCCACTTTATGACTGCGTTTGTCCAGATTTCGGTATGAGTACAGGTGGATTATGTGGTCCAGGATTCTACTGCCCATACGGCTCATCTAAACCATTGAATTGCGCAGGTGGAAGGTACTGTGAGACACCCGGCCTAGCGGCTCCTACAGGCAACTGCAGTGCTGGCTGGTATTGTAACCATACCAGCTCAGAGCCTGATCAGTATATCTGTCCAGCCGGGTATTACTGCCCAGTAGGCACTGCTGTACCCATCGGTTGTCCATCAGGCTCTTACAGTGGAACAGAGGGCAATAATGAGTTATCAGACTGTTTGAACTGCACAGCTGGACAATATTGTGAAGGTTTGTGATGTCATTGGTTTCAAAGTTCTTTTATTAAACAATTAAAAAGTAATTAAACAATTAATGATAAACTATTGTAAAAAAAAGTACATAGGATAAGGGATAAATATGTCAATAGTAACAAAACAATATTTATATTGGTTAGATAAGCTTATTGATGAGAAATTTGAATTGTTGTTTGCAAAGGAAATGAAGGAACAGATCAAAGTGGGACAACCCCACAAAAGAGAAAATAATAAATGATTAATTATTGAAAGATGTCATGGTATCCTGTTATAACTGTGACAATAAATCTATTGTTTGAAGGTGATGGAAATGATGCCCCTGATGATGACTGCACCCCAGGATATTATTGCCCAGGTGGTCAAGACACTGGCACACCAACTGACTTACAGTGTCCAGTTGGTCATTATTGTCCAGGAGGCTCTCACCAGCCACTGGTGTGTACCAATGGAACCTACCAACCTGATCCACGGATGAGTGATTGTGAAATTTGCCCTCCAGGCTACTACTGTGATTCAAATGAAAGTAAGTTTACCAAATAAATTCTTGACATACAAATAGATCAAAAAAGGTAATTTACATCATTCTCCCGCTAAATACTGTTAAACCTGAATAGAATATAGATACAATGAATGCATACATTCATGTACAACCCGTTTCTTCTCTATTAACTTCAGTGGGACCTGTGGCCAACCCAAGTCCATGCCCAGCTGGCTATTACTGTCCAGAAGGTACAGAGCTGGCAGAATCCAACCCTTGTCCTGTAGGAAGCTTTGGCGATGACACCCTGTATACAGAAGTCGATGACTGTAGATCTTGTACACCAGGCCACTACTGCGGGGACGATGCATTAACAGCGCCCTCTGGTGAATGCTACGCTGGTTACTATTGTACAGGAGATGCTTCATCAGCGACTCCTTATAATGACATGGTGAGAATTCGTTGCTGTAGTATATTACACTACTTACTAAAATTTAAAGTTATTAGATTTTTTCAAATGTGTGGTTTCATGACAGCCAGTGATCTCTATTTACTACACTGATATTTTTCAGCTAGAGTGGAAACAGTACTATCTTTTTTTTCCCAGGTTGATGATTCCAACAATGCAAGTTTCACTGGAAATGATGTATGTCCCATAGGCTTCTTTTGCCCCAATGGCACTTCATACCCTGAACCATGCCCTGCTGGTACATTTTCTCAGAATACACGCGTAACTCGTGTGGAAGACTGTGAAGAGTGTCCCCCTGGACGTTACTGCAACATGGTAGGCTTTGTGAAAGTTAGCGAAGCCCCTACATGTGATCCAGGGTAAGGTCATTACTTATTATCAGAATGAGGAGAGCTGTAGGCTTATGATTATGCATGCATAGTGCATGTCATCAGAGTAAGGCCATTACTTGTAGTCAGAATAAGTTTTTGATAAAACAGTACACTTAACTGGGCATTATAGAATGGTGGTAGATGTTTAATATGAATTTTATTTTTATTGGTTATATTTATATTCGCTGTAGATATGTTTGCACCGGTGGTAGCACAACACCAACCCCTCATTCATCATCAGGTATGGGTTACCAATGTCCAGTTGGTCACTATTGTCCAGCAGGAACAATTACCGAGCTAGGCTGTTCTATTGGAACATACCAGCCAAACATGGGTCAAGATAACTGTACTGAGTGCCCTGCTGGATTTATGTGTCCTTACACCAACATGTCTGAACCTTTGCCATGTAAATCAGGTAAGTCAAGCAGCTGGTACTATAATAAAGCCCTGTCCAGACTATCAAATTTTATTTTACTAAAACATGTGACATGCCTAAATATGGTAATAATGACCATATATGTATGACTATAAATGGGCATACAGCAGTCTATTTTGTGAATGCTTACCTGGATAAGCCGACTAATTGCCGTTGTTCTCAAAACGGAACGCCCCTTTAAAAAAATAGAACAGTCCATTCCAGGGTGCCATGTATGAACTCGTCTCCATAACAATATTCCCTATTCGGTGGTTATCGCATAAGGAGCTCCCCTTTTTGATAAAGGATTACCTACGGTTAGCCAATCTAGAGATTGCATTTGATTTCTTGGATATATATTTTATTCCTTGGATTTTATTTTCAAGAAGAAGTTTTACGACTTATCCTTTGTTTAGCTGTTTATTGTCAAAGAAATTATGATAATCTGGACAGAGTTTTAGAATGTTTAGAAAAGTTATACAAATAGATTCCTATTATATATAATTTTTTTTATAACTTTCTACTATGTAAAATATATCAAGAAACCATACTTAATAATACTCTGTCTTTCATAATTACCTGATTTTAAGATGACCTTTAATAAACAATCAAAACTAAATGACAACACTGGCATGTCTGTCTATTATTGTATACAGCTATTACAATATGGTTTTTCCTGTGTTTTAATATTATGTTGTTTTGCTTCATTGAATTAGTGTGGTTGATATTTGTAATTTTACTTTATGATTAATGTGTCTGTTTCTGTGTAGGACATTACTGTCCAGCAGCTGAACCAAGCCCTGTAGCATGTCCTGAAGGAACATTCAACAACGTGACTGGGGCTAGCATTGTAGATGAATGCATTGACTGTACCTCAGGAATGTACTGTGAAGGAGTTGGCAACAGCTACCCATCAGGTGAGAGGATTTGCAAAGTGTTTTATTTATGAAAAAATATGTTGTAGTTTATTTCTAAATACATGAATAAGCCAACTATGATTTTCATTGTTGCTTTAAATAGAACACCCTTTAAAAAAAATTGAATTGCCCATCCCAGGGCATTGCATGTCCATGCCAAGACTGTGAGGATACACATGTGGATGTAGGGTGCTGTGCCTTGGAATAGATGGTTCTAATCTTTTGTGGGGATTAGATGTTCTATTTAAATGAACAAGTCAGTTTATCCATGTTAGTATTTCACTCATAGACTACCACTAAATAGCAACATTCTGTATGTTGTTGGGTGTACAGTATATATTCAGTGCAGTATGTTTTCTTTAATTCTTTATTTGTGCTATTAGGTCCTTGTATTGCTGGGTATTATTGCTACAGAGGAGCATCAAACAGAGTGCCAGCAGAGAACATCGAATACCCTGACAATGGCTTCTGCCCTGCTGGATACTATTGTGTTGAAGGCACACCCACTCCTGAGCCATGTCCAATAGGAACCCTGCGAAGTGTACCACGTGAGTTAACTTGCAATAAGCCAATTCATAGTTTGAACTGCACAACCCCATATCAAGGTCAATTAGCATAAACAAAAATACACACAACATAAGTTTATGTTGATTGATCTTGTATACAGGCAAGTGCAGTTGAAACTACGAATTCACTTATTGGATTCATATCATCATGATTCCTTATGGAATTATAATGAATTTTTATTTAAGTGGAAGTTTGTCCTATATACTGTATATAGTTTCTCGATCTCTGCTGTTGAAGAATTTTCAAAAGATCATTGCTAACAATACTAATTACATTATGTAGTTCTGTCTTAAAATTTTATTGTGTTACAATCTAGCTGTAGCTATTTTATATTTATTGTGTTACAATCCAGCTAAAGCTATTTTATAAGTACTTGTGTATAATCCATACAGAGGCTGAATCAGAAAATGATTGTGCTCCCTGTACCGGAGGCTATTACTGCGACACACCTGGCCAGCTGAATGCTACAGACATCTGTTCAGCAGGTTTCTACTGTCCAGCCAATGAAACCATTGACAATCCCACTCCACCAGAATTCAAATGCTGGATTGGTCACTACTGCCCAGAAGGGTCATCAGTACCACTACCTTGTCCAGTGGGCAAGTACCAGCCCAATGAGGGGACAGACGAGTGTATATCTTGCCAGGCAGGCTACTACTGTCAGAGTGCATTGGTACCTGACCCACAGCCTTGTCCACCATACCACTACTGTCCAGAAGGTAATTAATTTTACAAACATTTGACCATTATTTTTTGAATATTCACCTTGATGATATATTGCAAGTTACCTTTCCAAGAACTTTACCTAAAAAATAATGGAATGGTTCATTCCAGTGCTCTGTGTATCACATAGACATCTTCATTTTCTTAGAATTGTAAAATAAAAGCCATAGACCTTAATAGAGCTGTAGATGTCTGACTTTCTGTCTTACTATTTCCATTGTTTCTTACCATTATTCTTATTTTGTCCATTCATTAACCTCCGCTTAATGCAAACTTGGCCTACATTGAATTAAGTACCTCACACATATACTGCCAACACCATCTTACTTTTGCATATGTTACATCTAAGCTTTGTATTCAAAATGATTGATGACTTGATTGGCATTCACAGCTACTATGTTCCCAATATCTTGTCCTAATGGCACCTACACCTATGACAACACAACGACTTTGAAAGAAGCTTCCGAATGCTTGCCATGTGCTGCGGGCAAATTCTGCAGGTGGGTTATTACTCAATTCAATCACATTACATATACAGATCTAAAAGGATAACAATATTTACTAAAATATTTTTTATAATATTATATACAAACTGGTATTATTTTTTGAAATCATAGTTTGAATTATTAATATTGTTATCATTTTATTATTACACTTATTATTTTTATTGTTATTTTTGTTGTGGTTGCCAATGCTGCCACCACTGTTGTTATCGTACTTTTTATCACTTCTTTATTAATATTATGTTTGTTTTATTATAATTTATATTATTAATATTATAATAATTATGTATGTGATATATTTGTTTTTAATTTTAATATAAATATTGATAATAGGTAAATTTTAATTTATAATAATTTTCACAGGGGAGGAAAAATCAGTGATAGTTGTTCTGCTGGCTACTTCTGTTTGAGTGGTAGTTACGAATTCACCCCCGATAATGCCCCACCGAATCCAGACCAGGACCAATGTCCAGTTAACACCATGTGTGCCGGTCAGTGCCCAGCTGGTTACTACTGTCCCGAAGGAATTGAAGATCCAATTCCATGTCCTAATGTGACGTTGAGAGACACGGCGGGTGCCAGCCAAATGTCAGAGTGTGTGGATTGCCCGGCAGGTTCAATGTGTCTGGAAGGTTAGTATCAAACAAAGCTATTTACAGTTTACCAGAACCTAGTAGCATTCACCATAACAAAATTTTTATTATTTATGATAATAATTATTATTATGAAAAGACCTGTGTGCTTTCATTTATCATTACCCTGGTCTTTGGATTGAACACAAAACTCAGAACACGAACTCATGGAACACAAACTCAGCTCCCCAGAGGAATATCCGATAACTTCACAGTATCAGCACATTTGGCATTTTAACTTACCACTACTCCTGGGTGGAGGCAAGCAATGCAGATAAAGTGCCTTGCTCAAGGACACAAGCAAAATGCACAGCAAGGAATTGAAACGCCAACCTCAAGGTTGGGAAGACAAACCATTCTCACTGCTTCAAACCACTTCTGATATGTTTTTTAGTTATTTTGTATCTATGATTATTTAACCTATAGGTGATCCTGTTGAATATGGTTGCCCATTGGGGCATTATTGCGAGCTTGGAGTTGCCCCACAGGAGTGTCCGTTGTACCACTATAGGAATGAATTTGGTGCAGCTAGTGAGGGTGATTGTTTTAACTGTGTGGCGGGTTACTTCTGCAATCAAACAGGTAAGAATCTAATCCTAGGGTCATTAGGTTGATTATGATTATGAATATTAAGTAATTAATTATTTACTTAAATTTAGTATTTATTTGATTTGAATTTATTTATTTCTAATATACGTAAAATACAATCATAAAAGATACAAGAATAGGAAAATATCAACAGAGATTAAAAAGCCTATTAAAATATTAAATTCAATTACATTACAAGGTATGACTACCAGCAACTTCACACCCTGCCCTGTGGGTCACTATTGCGTGGAAGCCACAGAGGAACCAGAGCCATGCACAGGAGGTCGCATGAGTACTACTGAAGGTCGTACTAGTAATGAAGACTGCCCTCTATGTACACCTGGATACTACTGTCCTAATGATACTATCAATGTACATGGAATTCCTTGCAGGCCAACTTATGAATGCCCAGAAGGTGAGCTATTTTTTCAAATCATTGAGCAGTGTGTTTTCCATTGAACTGCATACAAATTGCTCCCAGTCATTGAAGCTACTTAAAACTGGTTAAACATATGATTTTGCCTTTCTCAATCATTGTATCTTCTCTTTTTTATCTCTGATGAGGAGAAACATTTCGGCTGATTGATTAATAAATCTTTTTTAGCTCTACTGCCTCTATTATACTGCCCTCATGAGGCTGATTGATTAATAGTATTGATTAATAGATCTTTTTTTAGCTCTACTGCCTCTATTACACTGCCCTCATGAGGAGCTCCAGAAACACTCGGCTGATTGATTGATTGATTCATAGATGTATTTTAGATCTACTGCCTCTATTATATTGCACTCATCGGAGCTTTCGTAATTACGAGAACTTTTTATCTTAAGTACCAATCTGATATTTTTTTTTAACAGGGTCTTCCATTGAAGTAGTGTGTCGTGCTGGTCATTATTGTGAAGGGGTAACTGGCGAACCACCGATATGCCCTGGAGGCTACTATTGTCCACTTGGGTCCAGTGCTCCAATCAGGTAAAGATTCCATTGTATTAATAAATAGCTTTTGTTCATAACCACCTATTTTGTGAATACTTACTGGATAAACTGATAAAAAAATCAGGCAGGTTGGTCTGCAGAACCCTATACAATTCAATAGGCTGCAATCTAGTTATAAATTGCATAGCTAAGTTTTTAGTCTATCTGTCTACATCTACACAACAGAGAAACAAGGATGTTGTTAATACATGCTAGGCCTTTATGAGCATATAAGGCGATTCCATTATTTAATTTTATACTTGAAATCTTTGGCAATTTATCAGTTTATCCCTGTTTGTTTCTCACTCTACTACCAACATCACTGCTGATTTATTTAATATTGACTCTATATTCACAATTAACATATTATGATTTGATTTTCTTAGATGCGAATATCCTGAATATTGTCCCGAGGGTAGTGAGATACCATTAACTTGTCCTCTTGGTTACAAAGCAGTTGACCATTCTGGCCTACGCTATGTGAATACGCAATCATGTAACATTTGTCCAGATGGCTTCTATGGAAACCACACAGAGAGACTCACATGTGAAATTTGTCCTCAAGGATATTATTGTCCAGCAGGTAAATGTAGTTTCATGTATATCATTTCTTACATGTCTTCCTATATTTGTGATGACATGTGCGTAGGCCTAGATGATAAATTTGTAATAAAATAGAACTGACATGAAATTAATTATATTATTATTTATTTCCTTTTAATTTAAAATTTAAAGAATTTATATTGACATTGTGTTTTCCAGCCATCTGTTCACATTTTGCATTTCCTCAAATGATTGTTTACAGAGTGTATCACCTCAGTTTTCTTTGACATTTCTGTATCATTTTCTGCAGGAACTGGTGATCCAACTAACAACCCCTGCCCCATTGGTTACTATTGTCCAGAGGGGGCCGGAGCCCCTACTGCTTGCCCGACTGGCAAGTATGGTAATATTGTGAAAGCATACAGGTCGGACCAATGTGTGGACTGCCCAGAGAATACATTCAACAACATGGTGGGACAGAAGGCCTGTAGGCCATGTGGTAGTTCAGCAACAGCAGTAATAGGTAAGGTAGATGACTGAGGATAACACAGAGCTTTCAATCCAACTCAAGTAGGAGCATGTGCTGCAGCGTGTAAGGTCGTGAGACCGAGAGTTTGAGACCAACACTCGTCGTATTGCCTGTGTCCTTGGGCCAGGCACTTTACTTATGTTTACCTCTCTCCACCCAGTAGTATAAATGAATACCTGGTTGGTTCAAACACAAAAATGCTCTGATTACAGCTGCAACATTATGGAATTCTCCCCAGGGACCTGAGTATGTGTTCCATATGTGCATGATCCAATGACCGTGGTAATAATGCTAAGCACATAGATGTCTTTACAATACGCACTATATGAGTCAACAATTATCATTATATTAAGTAGTGTGGAAACAGCTATCCAGTTGTACATTTTTTATATACTGAAAAAAATAAAATAAATAAATGTGTAATACAAGAAAAGATGCCTACATTAAGATAGAGCACTCTGTTCCACATACACATTGTCATTCCCTTTTCACTATCAAGTGAATTTTAACATCCCAGCTAACAATGTAATCTAATCTAATTTCACAACTTCAAAATATTTGAGCGTTCCTACAACTTTGTGTGAATGTTATTTTGTGACATACCAAACCACAGCGTTTGTGAATGTTATAAAAAAATATTTTGTGTTTGCTGGAACATTCCTTTTTTCCATAAAATTAGGAGATAAAATATGATTTTTAAGTAAATTTGCCTGAGAATAAAGCATGAACCATAATTTTCTTTTTCTAGCAGTTTGAGGCTACAATATATACAACATATGTATGACTGTAACACTGCATTGTTTTTGGCAATCCGGCTAATCAGCCTTACTTTTTTGTTTTACTGGTGAAATAAATGATATGACTTACCATTATTATCACATTAGAAGTATTAACAAAGTTAGGATTACTTTTCTATTCCTATTTATAGGCAGTCCTGTGTGTGAGTGTACAGGTAAATACCGTTCCTTTCAGACATCGGATGGCTCCTGTATTTGTCAGTCAGGTTACATATTCTATGATGAGGTTGATGCCCCACAGGAAGATGAGAACAGTGATGAAGATTGTCAACCAATTGTTGATGAAAGGTGCGACCTGAACCAAGCTCGTGATTCAAGTTCTCGCAAGTGCGTGGATCCTGAAAAATTTAAATGCACTGAAGCATGTCCAGGATCTAGCGGCACTTTCAATGTTGTCCTCGGAAGGTTAGTTGAATACTTAAGAAACATTCTATTAAAAAAAAAAAATATTGACCGGTGCTCAGGTAGTTAATAAGGTAAATGATTTAAGTAAATTTTCCATAGTTTAGCCGACTTGTAGGTGATTTTTAAAGCCTCTTTATTCTTTCATGTGGTTTAATTCTTAGTAGTGTATTGGGGAGCCGGTGGGGAAACGGAGATGGAGTGGAGAGCTCAGTGATTGAGTGAGGGGGTGCTAGGTCGTAAAATAAGGTGATATGAGGTTATTTTTAACTACTTGAGCATAGTAGTTTGGCTTCGGACATTTTCAATGTCAGAGCCACTGGGGGTGCACGATTTCTTTGTTGGGGCGATGTGCACCTCCCCATGCACCCCCCATGCATCCCCCCATGCACCCCCTAGATGTGCCACTATTAATTCCTCCCACTGTGTGTATCCATCATGTGCTTCCTTTTTGCTAGCTTCTTCATTCACCATGTATGATTACATTTATGTTTCTGTTGCCTTGAAGATGTGACTGTGCAACATACACCGACCCACTGGAGATATGCGACACAGATTGTATGAACACAAAGCCAAGTGTAGCGGGCACGCTCAGTGATAGCGGACAGCTTCTTATCAGCACTGAATCAGATGATGGTTCAACCACATCTGAAGTAAGAAAGTCTCTTGACATAATATTTAAATAATTCATTCGTCTTTGTTATAAAAAAAGAATATCCTGAGCTTTTGATCATATGATTGGCTGTGATGTAGCACAAAGCTTCTATTACATTTTATGTGCAACTGCATTGTGAAAGTGCTATTGTAAATTAGATTAGGGAGTTTTGGATTTGTGTGATGATGTGACACTAGAATGGATCCACTTATGCGTGACTACTACGTTTTCTGCAAAAAGTAGATTTGGTCAAATTTCATCCTAGAATCCATGATATGAAGAGGATGAACGGATGACTTCTTAGTGACGTCATTACGTTCTACGTCTTACCACATTGTGCAATCGAAAGCTCCTTACATATTTCATTGTATATATCGTGTTATAGGTTTACCTAGATCCATTTACCTATAAGCGCATACTTTCTTTTCGCTTAGCCTGTTCCAAATGTGATTGGCCCTAGCGTGCATACATCTGGTACAAAGAATGTTGAATTAGTTTCCTTTGAGCCTACTGGTATTGTCGGCCACATCATCACCGATCCTAGCCAAGTTTCACAAATCCTTCTTGGTAAGTCTTATTCAAAATCTTTTTCAGTATAGTAGTAATGAAAACGTTATTGATAGGCTTAAGCCTTACTTTAATATACACCTAATACTAATGTAAGTAATTAAAATATATTAGCAGGAAACACTTTCTCTCTAATATATTATTAATATTATTCATCAGGTGTTTAACATTTTCTGTATTATTTTTATTTTAATTACAGGAGTATCTGAAACAACTACACTTACATATGATCCAAGGACCTTCTATGCAAACACTACCTCATCATCACGTCGTCGTCTGCTTGCTGTGCAGACCGCCTCTGGTGTTTCAGGAATTGAAAATCCACTTTTCTGTTTGGAGCTTGAGGAGATGCTTATTTTCAAAGTGACCATCGACGAAAATAATCGTTCACTTAGCAACTATCCAGTTTATGTCAAAGACCATCTTTTCAACACCAATCCACTGTTTGATTACAGCGAGTTCCGTGACTTACAATTCTACGTGGAAAGTACAAATGTTACTATAAATGCATTTGCTCATGTGTTTACTGAATCTGGTCAGTACGTGTTTGCTGATGCGCAAGAAAGCCAGCGAGAGGTTATTGTTTCTGTAAAGGAGGAAGGCCAGACGTGTCCTTTAGGACAATCTAAGGTGCTGCCGTCACAGAAGATTTACCTCACAGAGCAGGGAATAGGAAAGAGTGAAGCAGTGAATGAGGAACCAGATTGGGGTCTTATCATTGGTAAGTGCTTTGTATACAAATATTTTAAGGCAATCTTATCTACAAAGTGCTATCTATCAGACAACTAAGACCAAGTCTGAATAAACAATGTGTCTCTGTGAAAGAAAGCTCTTTGTCTAATGAGGGGGTAATACCCCTGCATTGTTATTAGCTTTATGGAGTACAATCTTTACCTTTTAAAGCCTAATTTTTCGATTTTGAAAATGAGCTATAATGAAGTTTCAAAGAAAAGAAATGTTTGAGATGATAAAGGGATATATAAAAGTTTGTATAATGGATTCAGGCAAAAAAAAAATTATGGACAGCTTATGAATGATTTATTCATAATTCAGTACTCAGTAAATTCAGTTGTCAAATAGTTTATTATCTTAAAATGCTTGTATTAAATATTACTAAAGCCAGTAAAGTATTCATAATCACTTGCATTGTTACTAATATTGGTGCATCTTTTCAATTCAGGTATGCTTGCCTTCCTGCTTGCTTGTGTGGTTATGCTTGTTGTAGCTGTTATCGTTTGGCGTCCACAAAATGCAGGAATATATCCAATGAAAGCCTGGAAACCCAAGTACCGTTACTTAGGTGCACCACACCGACTACCAACATACCTGCAGTACCAGGAATATGACAGGTGAGATGATTGCTAAATAATGTGCTGGGAATTATCTGGCTAATTTTTACATCACAGATTTAATAATAATAATTACAAGTATATTAAATTTGATAATGCTCAAATAGAGAACAAAAAGTTGAATCAATTATGACTTCACAGTTGTTATTCTTCAGAGTTACCTTACTTATATTTTATTTACTAATAATCAGTGTATCCTATGTTTTAATTACAAGTACCATACATGGTTTTGTTAATTTTTCTTGTGTTGCAGAGAGGCAATCCTTCTTGGACCTCGAATTGTTGAAGGCTCTGAAGGTAAAGTTCAGTCTGGAAACCAAAGTGACTTACTGGAGGATTTCAATGTTCGCACGCTATTCGACAAGCTAGAGGATCAGTCCTTATACCTATCGCAACAACTCAGCAAACATCAGGATGATATGCGCAGCTTCTACGAACGCATGAGTCAGCAGACAGATGGACTGAAAGTAATGTTGAATAACTTTGATGCATCCAAGTTGGAGGCTAGCGGCAAAGCCAGAAGACGTCGTAGAGGCTCAGGAAGCAGCAGTAGCAGCAGTGGCTCTGATGAGGAAGGTCCAGTAGTTGTCAATGCTAAGGTTAACAGAGTGTTCAATATCCAAGGTATGTAAAATATTATATTCTCAAGATTAATCCACATCCTTATTAAATGTATAAAAACATAAATCATGTGTGCATATTTAAATATATACTTATGACATAAACCAATGGATACTGATATATTGATTGCTGTCATTCTTCTTCTTTTGATTTTAGTCTCAAAAACTCGTGAAACAGAATTAATGGATGCATTAAGAATTCTGGTTGAGAAGCTGAATTCTGGCACGTTCAACATCACACCAGAGATGATGAGCAAGGCTTCAACATCTAATGGAACCAAGGTTGCCTCTGGAAATCTCATCAGTCGACAGAATGCTGAACGTCTTCAACTTGAGAGAGAACTTGTTGATGAAGAACAGAAGGAAATGAATACATTATTGCAGGAACATGTAAGATGTATTTTATTTAGCATTATCTGAAAGCTTTGTCCAGATTTTCAAATTTCTTTGACAAAATAAGTGTGCTCATAGTTGGTCATGATATGCCTACATGATCATGATGTCATGTCATCATGACCATATTTAGGTATTTCACATGTTTTTGTCAAATAAATTTTGATAGTGTGGACAGAATCTTAGATAATCCAGTCTACTTTCTGATTAATAATTCTTAAGACTGAACTCTATGGAAAATATAAAAATAGATGTTAGTAGTATTACTTTTTATTATGTTAAAACACATACAACAACACAATTAGATTTTAAGTAAAATGAATATTTTTATAGGAAAAAGAAAGGCAGGAGATAATAAAGCGAATGAATGCTGAATTGACAGCAGAATTGGACGGTGACCTGAGTACGGATGAGATTGAGGAGATCATGTCAAGGCATGAGAAGTCATTGTACCACGCTCTTGATCGCCTTGACCATAAGAAAGAAAAACAAATGTATGATCTTCAGCAAAAACTGGCCCAGAGAAGAATGGCTAAGCAGCTGGCACTCAGAAAACGACACCAACAGGAGGTAAGTGTGTATAATCCAGTAATTACTGCTCTCTTGAATAAGCACCGCAACAATCATCTTAAAAGTACAACCATGAATAAGTGCTGTGCCATTTGTTATTGGTGAATTCAGTAAATGTTGCGCCTAATCAAGAGTACAACTCAACATGATTTCATGTTTCACATCATCGTGACACTATTAAATAACAAATTTTTCATTGATTAAGTAATGGTAATGTACAGTAATGCAACATGTCAGATGGGCCTATGTACAAATGGTACCATTAGCAAGACAATAATTTATAATAAGTGTTGGTTATGATGCCTCCAAATCATTGTATGTGCTCTGTTGCGCTTATTGGCCCAAATAAGCTCGTTACTCACAATAATTTTTGAAGCGTGTCACTTATGATTAAGCACCGCACTGAGATGCCCCCAATGTTTCCATATTGCTTTTAAAGGCCGAGGAAGCTGGTCTGCCGCCAATAGAAGAGTTGAAATCATCAGCAGCAGGTCAAATCAGGACACATGAATTAACCCTCGGCATCAGTGTATCTGAAGGCTCTGCTGCCCTCTCTAAGGCACAGATGCAAGCCAATCAGGAACAAGCTAATGAAGAACTTTACAAGTTCTCTGAGAACATGTCAACAGCTATTGTAAGTAATAATTATTATTTCACATTATCAACATACATGCAATCTGCTGCACATCAACTAACACTTATAATGAGTCTTATGGAATGGTTTTTGGTCTTAATGAATGAAAAGTGGTTATTAAAGAGATATTGTAGCATTCTCTTAATGTTAAATTATATAACTCAGGGGCAGAATTAGTGGGGCCGAGCTGAGCTCCCCCCCGCCCCCACCGCCTACCCGCCTTTTGGAAAGTTAAAAACAATGAAAGAAAAAGAAATTATTGATCGCGCATAACGTCTCATAGAGGTTATTTCTGGGCGTCTAAAGAACAAAAATTTCCCAGGGTAGTGTTTTCTCTTGATCTGCCCCCCCCCCTCCATTTGGAACATCTCTGCATTCATCCCTGTATCTGTTAAAAAAGTAGAATATTTGATGAAATCCTGGTAGAGTAGCATCTAATGTGCATTAGTAACATTTATTCATATATTACTATTTTTACTGGAAAACAGAAATTTTGTATTAATAGAATAGGGGAATGGATAGAGGAATATTTTTATTTAATGTTGCAGGATACATTGGTCCAGGCTGGTGGTCTTGATGCAGATGCTGCCCAGGGCTTGAGCCATGAGCAGTTTGATACTGAGAGAGCCATTAAACAGAAAATGGATAAACGGCGCACAGATCATACCGCTGTTTTGAAGACTCGCATGGCACAAAGGCGTCGCAATAAAATCAGGAAATTGAAGAATAAACAAGACGCTGAAATGGATAAGGTAAAATACAACAATGTTGTATAATAAGCATATTCAAAAATGAAAATATCTACAGCAATAATAGAGCTGTCTATTTACTGAATATCTAATAAACCGATAAATGCCCTATCTCGCCTTTTTATGCCCATCTATCTTCCTTATTCACTTTACTTTATTTAGATGCGATAAATAGCAAAAAGACTACCTTGTGATTTTCAAATGTTAAGATTTCATGTGTTTTAAGTATATTTTAATAATATATGTTGGAAGTAAATTAGGATATAATATATATTTTATGAATACTTTATAAACCCCTCCTAAATTATAGTTCATTATATAGAAAATAACACATTATCTTCCTTTTTCACTTTTTATTCTATTATACAATACGTATAAGATAGGAGTAAGAGATTAGAATATATTGTTGGTCTTTTTTCTTTTATAGCTTGGAGATTTGACAGCTGAAGAAGTACGAGAAATTGAAGTACGCAACCAGAAAGAGATGGAGTCACTGGAGGCCAAGCTAGAGTCTGAGGAAATGCAACAAATATTGGACATTAATAAACAAATTGATGAAGAACAAAGTAAAGAAATCAAGAAGGCTCATAGAGATATTTTGAAAAAGGTAAATAAAGGAAAAATATTGGCTTTTGAAGTGGTAAAAGTTTAAATTAATAATAATATTAATAAATTAGATTTAACAACAACAATATTGTTTCTTACTGTTATGTAAAATATTTACTTTTATACAATAATGTATTGGGAAATACTATAAGCTGTTAATGCATATTTTTATAATGTTATATATTTAAATAATATTTTTTATAGTAATAAACAAGAAATATTTGTTGTGTTACAGGCCCAATTGGATCATAAAATTGATACAGTGATATCTCAGCAATTAATGGACCAAATGAGACGAGAGAATGAGAATGTTCAATATGAACTCAGCGTTCAACGAGATCGTCAGGAGGCTGATCTTAAAGCTAAAATACAAAGCAGACAAGAACGTAAACAGAGAGATCTTCAAAGGATGGCAGAGGAAGAGGCGGCACAGAGATTCCTGGCAGAGCAAGAGAAACAGGTGCAACAAGATGATTTGAATCTCACATCAGGACTACAGGTGAATCTGGAAGATCTCTCCATTGAAGAACAGGTATGTCTATCTTATCTTTAATATTTTATCCTTTCTCTTTCACATCTTAATCTCTAATAGTATTAAGACTATCAAATCGTGTATAAGCACATTCTTACTATATATGGACATACAATGGTTTTTGTCAAAGAAGATTTGATATTCTGAGCAGAGCTTAACAGCAAGTAAATCACCAACTAGTGTAAGTCTATAAGGCTTAAAAATTGGAGCTGTTTAAGTTTTTAGTTGCTAAAAAAGAGAAAAAATACTCTAACAGGATTTGAAACATGGATCATGAAATTGGAATGGGAAGCAATCTTAGCCACCGAACTATGTGACTCTGCTCTTACATTTTTCTAGCTGGCTTTATTATTCTATATCTCAATTTATTTATCCACACGGTCTATCTGTATCATGTCTTTAAAGTTGCCAAAGCTGTACAGCCAACAGATTACTTTTATTTCAATTATCCTATTCACTCGATTCTTATCTTCCTCCTCATTTTAAAAGGCTGTAGTTCGAGAACACCAGCGAGTACAAGAAGAGATGAAACAGAGACATGAGGAGGAACAGCAGAAGCTAAAAGAGAAACTTGAACAAGAAGGAAAAGAAAAACAGGAGGATGAGCTAAGAAGAGTAGACAGTGAGCGATTGAAAATAATCACAGAAAAGAAGAATAAGCAAGCAGCTGAGATCACCGCAAGAACAGACTTGTCTGATGAGGAAATGCAGCAGGTAAGTCAAGAAATCCTAACCAATGGTGGCGCCAGCAGGGGCAGTGAGAATCCCCCTGTCGGACAGGCCTGGACCCATTCTCCGTCTCTCAGAGCATAATTTTGGTACATACTAAGCCAAAAAAATTCTCCCCATAAACCTCTCAGTTCAGAACCCAGCTGTCAGACATACTGATCCCCATATATATAATATTATGAGTACATTGGATTCATTATTGCTTACTCCTGTAATGCATTTCAACTCTGTTTTTAACTTTTGACAGCTTCTAACAGCTCATGCTCGTGAGATTGAAGACCTTGAGGACAAACTTTACAGTGAGCGTGCCCGCCAGCAGCTTCAGCTGCGTGACAGACTCGCAAAACGCAAAAAACAACTAGAAAAGGAACAAAAACGAAAGCATGAAGTTGAACTTGCGAAGGAAATGATCGAGCAAAAGAAAGAACTTTCAGAGGTTCGCTCCAGTGTCATCAAGGAAAAAGAGAAGAAGGAAATGATGGAAGGAGTTCAAGGAAGTGGGGGACAAAACACTGAGAAAATTATTAGAGCTGTAAGTGAATTTAATTATCAATAAACATTTTCTTTAACTTTTTTTAAAGTATATTTTATTTTATTTTATTAAATTTTGCACACTAAATATTTTTTTCTTTTTTAATATTAAGGTTCTTGATAAGCGACATGCTCAGGAACTAATTGATTTAGATGGGCAGTTTGAGGCAGAGCGTAAAGTAGCTGTAGAGGGCGCTTTAGCAAAGTTGCATGACAAATACCATTCAAAGCGAGAGTTGATGATACAGCATCATGAAAAAGAGCTTGCTGATCTTGCTAAAGAGGGGCTACCACCAGAAGAACTCCGACAACGACGAGCTTCTGTTCTCAATAAACAGCAGATTGAGATGAGCCAATTGGAAAAAGATCTTTCAGCTGAAAAGCATGAAATAGAACAGGGCGCCCTTTCTGACTGGGAGTTACGATTTGCTCGTGCTAAGCTTGAGATGAAGGAGCGCCATTATCAAGAGTTTGCTGAAGCTCTCAGAGAATTCTCAACAGATCAGAATGTGAACCAGTTAGTGTCTGCTGAACAGGCCCAGAAGGCAGCAGAGGATTTGGATGAGCTGAAGACTAGACTTGAAAAAGAACGCTTAGAAAATGAAGAAAAATTGCTGAAGGAGAAAGAAGGTAAATTATTAACTTTTGAGACTACTAAGTTAATTCTTTATTGTTAAAAAAATATTAAGAAGGCCTTGTTGAAAAGAAATGTAGTAAAAAATCCAGACGTGAGACAGAATGTGTCACTTAACTAGATAAAGCCTCTAATGGAACAGTCCACCACCTCGGCACCACTGCCACATAGTTTGGGTGTGTATCTTACTCATAGACTACAACATTTCTGTCCTACTGTATTATGGTAATGGTAGCACTTGAAGCTATAGCATTATACACATCCACCTCAAAGAGCAATATTTAAATTAACTTTTTAAATGTATTTCAGATTTTGAAAAGACTGAGAAGAAACGCATGGAAAAAGAACTGTCTGAATTTGAGAAGCGTATGCATGATGAAGAAAAGAAAGAAAAGGAACGACATGAGAAAAATCTGGCTTCACTGAATAAACGAAAGGAACAATTAGTACAAGAAAAGAAAAAGAAGCATTTGGTAAGCAAATGCACTTATTTTTAAAAACCTGAAAGTTTAAGATTTTAGCACTTACAAAACTGAAATAGTTTACTACAAATTAAACAATACATAGGTAAAATATTTATGATATAAATTCATGTAAACCCAGTGCTTCTGTCATTTATTTTACTTTGGGCCATTTATAAGAGGTTTTAATCGGATTTACCTCCAGAATGTATTGTAAAAGCCCATCTCGATTTGTTTAATCTTTTGTTTTTAAGTGCTTTTCTCCATTTAAACTTTACTTCGCACTAATCACATTTCATAGGAAAAACTAGAAGCAATGAAGAAGAACGGAAGTTCTAAAGAAGAACAGGAACGTCTGATTGAGGAATTTGAACATGATGTTGCTAAACTAAAACAGAAACATGATGAAGACCGGATGAGGATGCAAAGCTCACTTCAAGAACGACTGAAGAAGAAGAAAGAGGAGAAGCTGAAGATGAAGAAAGAGAATGTTCAGCTGCAGATGAAGGCAAATATTGAAGAACATAATGAACATCTGAAAATGGAGGGAGAAAGAATGAAGGCAGATGAGGTAGAGATAATATCTTGTATTTAATTATTTATTTATTGATTTAAAGCAGTAGAAATTACTGTAAAAAGCTAGGGACACATACTCAGCTCCTTTGGGATAATTCAGTGATATTGCAGCTAGTTATCAGTGCATTGGTGTACAACCTACTAGGTACCCACTTGCCGTCCTGGGTGGAGAGAGACAAGTTTAGGTAAAGTTTCTTGCACAAGGACAGGCACAAAATGCACAGCAAGATATCGAAACCCTAACTTCAAGGTTGAGAGCACATATGGTAGCAGCTATGCTGCCACAAAAATACCATAATAAAATTTATAATAAACCAATATTAATAATTAGTCCAATGATGTTTGAATCTACATTGATTTTGATTGGCAGGTTATGACATTGAAAGAGAGTGTCAACATAGATCACTTGTTATCCAATAAGGAACCAGTGCCAACTGTGATGCCAAGCTCGTATGCCATGGCAGCACCAATGAGTGATGAGGACCTAACCAACCTCCTTATGGTGTCACCACTCTACCGCAAAATGGAAGAAATTAAAGGCATGATGAAAAATGGAGGACTGTTACCGAAGAAAGACAAAAGTAAGTAAACAGAGTATTACATCGATCATGGTTTGAAAGGAGTGAGAAAGAAAGACAGTAGAAATATTTAGGTTAAAAGTAAAATGTAAAATGTACAGTAACATTGACTTCTGTTTCTGTGAGTGTTGAAATGATTCTCAGATAAATATTTCGAAGGTATTTTTTTAGGTAAACTTTTCACTTTCAATTTAATAGAAATTATTTATTCTCTCAAATTTAAACATCATTTTGCTCACAGCTCAATTTCTCGATGCACGTGACCAAGAATGGGTGGGTGACACTGAGCTCATTCCGGTCGACCTCAACAAGCTCGGTGGACGTACATTCGTCGTTTACAAGTTTGGTGTCTTCATTGCCAAGTTAGTGGCCACAAATTGCGGACATAACCCAGTGACTCTACTCCTTGCTGAGAAGATCCCTAACAATCCCAACTTGACTAAGAATGCTTACAGGAACTCTTATCATTTTGATGATAGCAGTCAAATCTTGTACATGCGGCTTAGCAGACTAGATTTCGTTGGAGACTTCGTTTTGGTGTTAGTCCATGCTCTTGCTCATATCAAGATAGGTACAGAATCAACATCATTTTAATTATAATGATTACTATGTGATAATAATATTAATATATGAATGAATGACTGTTGTGATCATAAGAAAGAAGATGATTTGATTATTTATGATTGATAATGATAATAATGAGGTTAGTAATTGATTGATACACCAGGAACAGAAACCCCGAAAAACCATTGGTGGCTGGGATAAGTGTTAGGGTCTGTATAACTTCCAATTCTCATACAAGATTATGAAATTTGAAAGTAGTCTGATCCAACCTGGATGATGTGATTATCAGTTAGATTATCAGCTAAGAATTAATATCACTATGATTATAGATTCACAAACGCACAAAGAACATTTAGACATTTTGTCACCATAAACTGTGTTAGATGAAAACAAGTGTCTCAAAATACTGTTCTTAGTTAAATTCTCCATGTCACTGTTTATTAGTTGTGTAGCTCACAACATATTATATGCATAAAAATATGAAAGTATAAATCATATATTTATTAAATTTGATCTTTAGGTGACATGATTGATGACACAGACCAAGATTTCACTCGTGAATTCTACAGCGCCCTCTCTACAGTCTGCAATGATCTGTTTTTTGCTCGCTACCGACGAACCAGTGCTCTTACGCAGGCTGAGCAGGATATGACTGCAGAGCAGAAGGATAAGGAGGAAAAGAGTTCTCGTATGTTACTTGAGGCCTTGTTTGGAGATTCACATGCTAATTCTGATAAAGAGAATATCGTAGACCAATTACTTGACGTACAGTTGATACGTGGATCAGACAGCTCTGGCACAACTGTTACACAAGAACAGATGAATCAAAGGTATAACATCAACCATAATACTAACATTTCATTTGCATCTTATTACTTGCTAGGTTTCATTGTAAAACAATATTATGTATACATTTTTTCAAGTTATCATTTGTTAAATACCACACAATGTCTGTTTAATGAATCATTATAATAGCTTTTAGCAGTCATTATACAGTAGAACCCTTCTTCAACCACAAAACGAGGGAAAGTACTCTCTTTTTACACTACGGAAAAACACTATTCAGGGAACACCTCTGTTAAGGGGACACTTTTTTTGGTCTTGAAGGTGTCCCCGTATTAAGTGTTCTACTGTATTTTAATATGCGACAAAAAAGTTGATTATTCTTCTTTTTAATTATTTTATTGACCAAGAAATTGCAAGTTTTTAGTTCAGCTTTTTAAAGTAGTCACATCATTTATTTTTCCATCAGATTGAGGAAATACAACAATTTCTCTGTGAATGAGCAAATGAGGAACTTCCTTGGTCATGTTGAGGACAAGATGACTCTCGCAAAGCAACATGGAACAAACGATAAAGTGGATGACCGTCTCTCCCAATTGACAGGCAAGACCGTGCTGACACGTCGCATTGCTACCCAGTCTAACAAAGACCTCATTGAGAAGCTTCCTGGTGAACTTAGTGGGACTGCAATGTGGAAGAAGTCTTTGGCGGAGTCAACAGCTAGGCAGTATGCAGGAGGACGCATCAAATTGGCAGCTGATAAAACAGCAAATAAAGACCTCTTTTACACATTCCTTCAGGTAAGATTTTGATAAAAAAATGATTTATAAGTACCAGAAGGGGTTGCATTGATAGCTCTAGCATACTACCATGGTGATGCGCAACGTTTCCTTAGGGTTGCAATGGAACATCCCTTCAAAACATTATGGAACAGTCTGTCCGAGGGTTTCACGACACATACAGTCTCCTGAACCATAGTTCTCATTCCCTGTCTATTTAAGTATTTATTTATCTTTGAAATCATAAAAAAAGTTTTGTTATTATATTATATATAGGATGAGGTGAAATCCTTAGAAGAAAAGGTGGACAATTTGAGTGCAGAGTTCTCTAGCCTCAGCAAACAGGTTGTGGATAGGCAGGAACAAGTTCACAATCTGGGCCACCAACTGAAACAACAGAAAGACTTGGTGCAAATGAGTGATGGAAAGGTAGGCTAAGGAGCACAAGCTATTACTATGCAGCAGCCTCCACTCATTAATTCATTCACTAATGCATTAATTCATTCATGCATTCATTCATTCACACATTTCATCATACATATAAAATCCAAAAATACTCCAAAAAAATATAAAAAAAATCAGAATATTATGATTGTTTAATATGACTTTAGAATATAATTTTTTTTTCTACAACAGACAACAACTGTTAAGGACACTACAGGACAGCTTAGCACAGCCCAATCGACTCTGACCACACTGATTGCTAAACGTGCAAACACACTGCAACGGCTTGAGATGTTCCGTAAAGAACTTGAGGACCGACAAACACAATTACAAACACAGCGAGAAAAAAGTGCGAAAAAAGAATCACGAAAATAGAGTCATAAATAAATAAGTATCAGTAACTAATGGACCTAATTGAATTGCACTTGGATCCAATAGTTGTTTATCAAAAATAAAAATAAATATTATTATGAAAATTTAAAGACTTAAGTTGATATACATTGTTATTTTTGTGATATATGCTATTTTTAAATGTAATTTTAGCTTGTCCACCAACATTTTTAATATGTCACCAATAAATATTCTGTCGTTTTTTAGTGCAAGAAATGTTAAATTTGCAATATATTGTCCACTATATCAATTATTATTATTATCAATATTTCTTTAATAAGAAATAAATTTATTGATAGAATGTCAGCATTCTAATAAAATTGTGCCTTTAAAGTATGCATAATAATTAATCCGTCCTGTAATATTATATTAAGTATTTCACTTTGATTGATAATGATTGAATAAGTCAATTGATGCTTTCAGTTCATATCACCTTGATAGGTAATTAGCTTTAATAAAATTGTGCCTTTAAAGTATATCTATGTATAATAATTAATTCGTCCTGTATAATATTGAGTACTCTCATCTTGATAATAAGTAAATTATTAAAATTAAATTTATTTAAAAATGTAAACTACAGAATATTATTATGAATCCGTCCTGATTGATAATGATTGATGCTTTCAGATCACATCACCTTGATAGGTAATTATCTTTAAGAATTCCGTCCAAACAATTTGTAGTACTTGAGAACATTCCTTTGTAAATTATATGGTTGTGTAAATATATCGTGGAATTTTTAATTTATTAAAAATGTAAAAATATAATGTAATCAAAGGAAGACGATTTAAAATGCATCATTTATCCATATGTTTATTGAGGAAAACCTAGAATCAGGTATATATTTTTTTTCAAATTCACCAAGATTTTCAATGTTGTGATATATGTGGCAAAGACAAGCCAAACCAGTCACTCGTCGCAAATCCTGTTTTGGAGATAATGGCCAAAACATGTTGGAATGTCAAAATTTTGGAAATTTATTTTATTGCACTAAACTAACCTTTACATATCTATACATCATGCTATGCTGTTATTTTCCTCATTTTCAATGTTAAAATAACAATTTTTAACGATTTGGTGATGGTTTCTGCCTAAGAAATGCCTGAAATCGTAAACTTTAAAGGCTGATTTCTCAAATATTGTTCTTTAAACAGCTGTATGTTTAAACTTGTGTAATTTCATAACGAAGTGTCGGATTTAAATGATTCTTTCACCATTTTATAGCTCTCATTTTACTGTTTAACCCTGTATTAATAACTAAAAATTTATTTTTCCGACGAGTGACTGGTTTGGCTTGTCTTTGCCACATACAGAATGTAGTAACTTAGAATCCCAGATTGAACTACACTTCCAGCAGCAGTGTCATTTAGCGATAAGTAACTTACCTGCTTTAAATCGATCCTTGTGATTTCATTATGTACTTTTATCTCTTGGTAGTACTGTATTAACGGGTCTATTTGTGCTTTCATGAACATATATGTAAATTTAAGCTATTTTAACATAGAAATTTATAATTTTATATCCTATGTTATATTGCCCTATATTGTTTTTTTATATATTGTGACAATGACAGACCTGATCAGTCCTGGTTTAGATAACATTTTAATTAGTAAGATACATTTCAGACCTGATCAGTCCAGGTTTAGATAACTTTTAACTCAGTAACTAGTAAGATACTGTTCATTTTTAGTAATATCTGTGTCCCTATTTTTATACCATCAATTAACAAAATGTAGACTGGCCATGCTTCCATCACAAAAACTTGAATTATGTGTTGGCTACCAGTTCAGACAGGTCTGTCAACTTAAATGTAGTTTTTAGTTAATAATTTTTTCCATTATTTTCTGCCTTTGTTTAGATTATTTTGGATATATTTTGAGGAAAATTTAGTCAATAAAGAGATTTTTTCAAGTTTTAGTCATAATCATATGTTTTTCAACTTCATTTGTTCATTTCATTTCATGTATTTTTTCAGAACAATACACATTTACAATTGGTACAGTACAACATATTTTGGTCAGGGGCAGCTTAAGCACGATTTTACTATAACTCATTGAGAGTCAGCTGCCCCATTAATAACCAAACATTTAAATACAATACAATAAATAGGCCTATCATAATTCTGAAAGTTGTTTTTAGATACTTTACTTAAAATTATGTATCAGTTATTACATACTAAAAATGTTAAAGGAAAATTACCGGAATTATCTTAAAGATCAATTATTAATGAAAAAAAAAATCTTAAGCGTTGTAGTTTTCAGTACAATTACATAGTGAGAGAAATGTCCTACAGAATAACTGATGGTGTGGAGTATTTATTGGGATAGTAATTGCAAATAGTAGGCTTATTATGTGGTATATAGTAATAAATATAAAAATTCGCATATGCATTATGTATATTACATTATGAATAAAACAGTATGAGTTAAATTCCCTACACTGTGGTATTGACCATTCCACCTTCAAAGCCTATTGTCATGCCAATGACATTACTTACAGTTTAACCATGGAGGTATTATAATACATCCATGATATTAGCATATAAGGCCGCATAGCATATACTTAATAAATAATTGAACTAGTAATAGTGATAACCTTAATATATTATATGATTGCATTAGAAAAATACTTTAATTTCCATTCTATATATTATTTAGGTGTGAATTTTACATGAAAGGTCATTCATATCAAATGTATGACATTTGCACAATAAAGCCAATTTTGCAATAATATTAAATTACTCTAAACTACGCTAAAAAGCACACTACACAAGATAAAATTGAGACAAAAGTTTAGGCATGAAAGAAGAGATATTATCCTAAATCCATCTGTATGTTAAAAGTGCGATTCTATTCAATTACGCTGCCATTATTATTAGGCCTCTTGAGTGGCCAGAAATAATTTTGCCTTGATGGATCTTTAAAACTACAACAATTCGGCAAACGTGCGGTGTACTGGTTTTATTCGGCGTCAGAAACCAGGAGTGCCGCAGTGAGAACGAGTACATTATCAGATCTCCATACTTAAATGTTCAAACATTGGGAGATGTTGCTATTAACTCTTCTGCTTCTGAATTTCTCTGTGCCTTGTGGTATGTGAGCATGTTATCAAATTTTACTCGATTATATATTTCCCCTTTCGTATACTCATTCCAAACAGTTCAGTAAAACTGAAAAGTATCTCATATTACATGAATTTGAGAGATTATGTTGCTTCTTGTTTAATTAAAGATAAAAATGACACACTGGGCAAGGGCAAAACTGATGGTTCAGGGTTTCATGCTCATGTACCCCCCACTTGCATCGACATTATATTAATTCATTAATATTCTTGAGTTTGTTCTGCAGAACAAGACAACGAATTATAAAGCAATTCATGCAGTTATTTTAGATCTTAATAAAATAACATGTTGATGATAAGAGAGATAATGAGATTGATGGAGAACATTTTCTTTATTAGTTTTTCCTTTGTAATATTAAGATATTTCATGGTTATATTTAATTTTGTTTAAGTTAATGGCATAGAGGCAACTTCTTCGTATTATGCGCTATAGATATATCGTAATAACGAGATAATTATCTCGTAATAACGAGATAATATTTAAGCATATTTTTATAAATATGTGTACATGGAGAAAAATAGTGAGTCACTGAAAATAGTTCAGCCCTTTTATGAACACGTCACCTTTACGTTTCTTCAATTTTCAAATAATATATTTGTCTGTGTGCATTGTTTGTAATAAGGTTTTTAAAATAAGTAGTTTGACTGTATTACTTTATATCACTTACCGTAGTTCGTCAAAGTTATACAGCAAAAAAAATGCAGACTTTGGAAGATGTTCTTCTTGATTTCATTGCTCCTGACTTTCTCAGCAACTGGTGCAATGTAGACCGGATCTCCAATCAAATTTTGCACGATTAACAGATTTCTTCTTTCCTGAATATTATTATTTTTATATCGTCTGCTCTTTTGAAGGAGGCAATTGATAAAGTAGATTAAGGGTAATATTTTAATTGTAGAACTGTTTAATCGATAATAAACCAGGCACAATTTTATGTAAACTTACTGCGAGCTTTCGTCTGTTGTCAGGAAAAAAAGATGCAAAACAGAAAACACCGCATTGAATATTCATATAAACTTCTGTGCCCGAAGGCTTTTATTCAATAAATAAGCCTCCGGCCCTTTTCACATAATAAAACATAAATACAAATTAAGTGAGGGTTTCTAAATATATATTCCTATAATTATATGAATATTCATATAAGCGTGCCAGTGGTATGATTTAAGATGTAGTAACGCGATATGTTTCCAGATTTATACCAAGCACAGTCGGAGAGAGTACCACAGTGAACGAGTGCATTATTAGATCAGATCTGTATAAGAAGCATCTATGTTCAGACTTCGGAAGGTGTTCTTTATTTTTTTGCTCCTGACCTCTGCAACAGGACGTGGTATGTAGGCCTGGTTTTTAGAAAATTTGACCCGATTAACATGATTTCTTTTTTAGTATAATTTATATAAATTCCATTCTGAACATAAAGAAAATTCATTCTGTTCCTGTAAAAGTGCAAGACCAAGCTGCATAATATTATATCAGACATAAATAAGATCTGAGTAGACGATCAATTCTATTAGCTTGGATCTTGATAATAAAGTAACTACCCAAGGACTTGTTAAGGTACACTGCCGCAGAGTGATAGTCGTAGGCTATTAATATTAAAATCAATGATAATGATGAGATTGATGATATTATAGGCCTACAATTCATACTTGTTGAAACAGAGTTTGTATTTTCACTTGGGTTTTTGTAGAGAGGGTGTTGGCTATTTTTTTCAATGATCTTTCCCATTCGTTTGCACATGGTTCAATGGTTCTGAATCATGTTGTTTTCAGATTTTCTCACTGCCACAAATCATAGAATAAAATCACAGCCCCCAGCGGAGAGACCTGGGCCGCCCCTAAGCCTTAACTTACAAAGTACACAAAACCTCCGAAATCGGAGTTTTGGCGGCGGGCGCAGACACTCCAAAAATGGAGTAACTACATACATAACTCCTGTCAACTAGATGATGTGGCAGATCCGACCTTTTTAGACAAGAAAGCAGAATTCAATAATTCCATCAAGTCCATTTGCGCGTGCTTGCCAACTGATGCCAAGACAACGAATTATAAAGCAATTCATGCAGTTATTTTAGATCTTAATAAAATAACATGTTGATGATAAGAGAGATAATGAGATTGATGGAGAACATTTTCTTTATTAGTTTTTCCTTTGTAATATTAAGATATTTCATGGTTATATTTAATTTTGTTTAAGTTAATGGCATAGAGGCAACTTCTTCGTAGATAGATATATCGTAATAACGAGATAATTATCTCGTAATAACGAGATAATATTTAAGCATATTTTTATAAATATTTAAGCATATTTTCATAAATTAAAAAAATGTGGATTGAGTTATACTCATTTATTTGAAAAATACATTAAATGAAATAATGTAATCGTTAACGTTTAATAATATTTGATAATATTTAAATAAAGCAATAAGATTGAATTATGTTAAGTAATACCGGTACAGACACAATGTATACACAGGTCTAGTTGAGAGTCCAGTTAAAACATGTAAATATGTATTGAAATGATATACTTATTTATATATTTATATAGGCCTACATATTATGCGTAAATATGTATTTAGTTATTAACTTTTTCGATAAATATTTTTAGCCGCTCCAATATTTTTTCCTTTTCTTCTTTCTTCCTTCCTATATGTTTCTTCTGTTTTTCGTTAAATTTAATTTAATATACTAAATACATATTTACACATAATATTTATATAAATGTATAATAAGTATATTATTTCGAGTATTATTTACATATTTTAACTGGACTCTAGTACTATAAGCCTGTGTATACATTGTGTTTGTGTTTAACATTCAAATATCAAACATCAAATATTATTAAAGCGTTAACGATTACATTATTTCATATAATATATTTTTCAAATAAATATCTAAACAATTTTCATTAATGAAATATAAAGATCGGGCGTCACGCTGACTCACGTGCATTAAGAATAGCAGTGGACTCTCTTCTTTTATACTCTTTGATACTGTCCACAATTTCCCACCCTTGCCCTATTATCTCGTTATTACGAGATATTATCTCGTAATAACGAGATAATTATCTCGAGATATTATTATATATATATAGATATATATATAGATATATTGCTGCCAACTAAAAAAAATAAAATTTAGATATTATCTCGTTATTACGA